AAAGTATTCTTGCATTGAGGGAGTTACTTGAGTAGAGGCCGAATGTCCATCCGTTACCTTAATACTAAACCTGTAAATATATGCACATAGATCTATTTCCCCATTCTCATATATATTTATATATGTACATGCCTTTATTTAGACCTCTGTAAATGCCCTTTGCTTGCCTCTTAGCTCTTTCCTCTATTTCCTTTTACTTTCCTCTTGTCCCACTATCATGCTCAGCCTTCATTTGGGTTACAGTAATTTCTCTTGGTTACATTACCCTTGGTCATACCCTACCAGGCCTCCTATACCCTCCTCAGCACCTATTTGGATCACTTGTTGTTCCCTTGTCCTTGGGTTTGTTAACACCACTACCTTTCCCCCCACCTCCCCCCTCAATACAGGTCGTAACAGCACTTAGCCCCCAATTTGGGACCACGCTATATTTAATTATTGAATCGATTGGGTCTCTTTATTCTAGAACTAGGAACCTGGGTAGTACAGTTTGCTTGGCTACTAACTGAAAGGTTAGTGGGTAGATTCCACCCAGCAGGACACCAGGCCTTTGCAAGAGTACAGCCACTGAAAATTCTGTGGCAGCTACTTCTGTGCCATGCGTGGGTCGCTGTGAGTCAGAACTACCTTGAGGGCACCAAGCAACAGTGGCTGTCAGTTGAAGCTGCTCCTCAGCCTTTGTCGCTCATGACATGGTCACTTTGAAGACTATAGGCCCAGGCATAGGCACAATTGTGAGGACGGCGCAGGACCCTGCAGTGGGTCCTTTCTGTTGTGCACAGGGTTGCTGTGGGTCAGAGCCGACCAAATGGCACCTCACAACAACATAGAACACTTGCTTTTAGAATGCTCCTCACTGGAGTTTGTCTGAGTGTTTCTTCCTGATTGGACGCGGGCTGTGTATTTCTGGCATCGCATCAGAAGGTCCGTGGTGGTGGATTTTCCATTCTTGGTGAAGGCCACTGAGTTCCGCTTGTGTCTGTGCCAGTCACTTACTTCCCTTTGTGTGGACTCGTGGAAGACCCCTTCAGCCCATTACCTGGTGGTGTTGAGGACCCTTTGTTGTCATTCTCACCAAACCCAGGATCGCTGTGATGGTAGTTTTCTTTTTAACCTTTCACTTTTGCTGTGAATGAGGTGAAGGTGTACAGAGGGGACCCTAGTTTTACATTCAGCAGTTCTTGCACATTTGACTCACTGATGCTCTTTCGGTTGATTGTTCATTCTAACACGGAAGTGAGTTCCATTCCACACCTAGAGAGGGAGGCCATAGTCTGGGTTGACCGGTAAGGCTGTTCTCCTTTATGATTTTGCTGCACATTTTTTGCCCACTCTCTCCAGGTCCTTCTCATGTGAGCCTTCTCAGAACCATTGGGAGTGGTAGCGGGGCACCATCTCTGCTTCTGATCTCAGGGTTGTGGAGGGTGAAGTTTGCATACTCTATTAGGAGTGCCTTGGACTAATTGCTTCTGTGGGTCTTTGGATTTTTATTTCGGCATGTGTTTAAATGATGGTACTGTGTTTATTTTTGAATTCTGAGGGCTGGGGTTGAACTCTCTAGTTGGATATTGCTGACCTCGGTGCCTCTGTCCTTCCCAACCCCAGAGAACTTCCGCTGCCTGTGCACCCACGAAAAGGGCTTCGGCTTCAAGGGAAGCAGCTTCCACCGCATCATCCCCCAGTTCATGTGCCAGGGTGGCGATTTCACCAACCACAATGGCACCGGGGGCAAGTCCATCTACGGAAAGAAGTTTGATGATGAAAACTTTATCCTCAAACACACAGGAGCAGGTAGGGTGAGATTGGTGTCTGGTAGTGAGGAGACTGGGTAAGTAAGGGCTAATGGCCCTGGGGACGGGGCTGTTGAGACAGGGTGCAGTTCTGAGGAGTCATACATGGGCAGGGTTCAGCCTGGCAGAGCAGAGTCAGCATCAGGCTTACAAAAGTTCTTGTGATTAAAAAAAACCATTTTAAATCCAAACAAGTCTCCCTGTATTACGAGAGGAAGGTACCTGGTGCTGTTACAGCAGCGATGTGGTGGCAGTACTGTTTTTGTACCTCTTGATTTTACGTAATTTCAAACTTACAGAAAAGTTACCAGAACAGTATGAAAAGCCTTGTACGTTTTTATATGCGTTTCGTGAAGGTTCAGCAGTATTGACATTTGTGATCCTCATTCTCCACTTCTCTGTCGTTCTCTTTCCTTGCCTGTCGTTGCAGACAAAGCCATATTTCTCAGAAACATTTGAGAATAAATCAGCCGTCATTCGCCATCACAGGGTGTCTGTTGGCTCAGTGCCAGACATGAAATCAGAAAGTAGTGGTTGACAGTATCTCTCCTCAGACGTCACCATTTGTAACGGCGACATCCCCTGAGAGGCCTGGATAGTTGGCAGGATTCTAAACTTGCTGTCCACTCCAGTCCACCCTTGTGCATTTGCCATTCAAACCCAGGTTCCACCGCCGGGCATACGTCCCCCCTTCTGCCTTCAGGCTCCACTGCCTTCCTCTGGGTCCTGCATTTGCACCGGCTTCAGCCTCGCTGCTGGAGTAAAACCCACCCTGAGCTCCCCTCCTAGATGCCGACAGCTGGTTTTCTCCCACAGCCTGGGAAGACTCCACTCCTCCTCTCTGCTCCTCAGGCCTCCAGCGTTGCCTCCAAACACCGCTCTCATTTCACCAGTCAACCTGGGTCCCTCCACTCCCTCTCCTGCCTCCTTCCCTCCTCCCCCCCTCCCTCTGCACTGGCTCACCAGCTCCCTTCAGCCTGCAAAGCCTGCTGATGACTCCCTTGATCCCTGTCTCCCGCCAGCTACCACTTCAGTCCTCCAGCCCCTTGTTGGCAGAAGTGCTTGGAAGAAACAGGAACACTTGTCGCCTCCAGAGCTGCTTTCTTCCCGGCAGGGCAGTTGGTTCTCAGCGCCGTTGCCCACCTGAGCAGTGTTGCATGCGCTGCTAATCAGTTCCCCTTGAGTCTCTTTCTCGCCCGCTGGCAGCACTTCCCCCTGGGTTTGCCATCTGCCTCATTGGCCCATCCTTTTCATGCTCCCTTCCTTCCCCTCTAGATTGTCAGCAGGTCCCAGGGCTGCAGCCGAGGGTTTCTTCTCTGTCTACACTCGCTCTTCAGTGGTCTGACCCTTTTAGCCCAGCCTCTTTTAACTGGTGGGTTCCCCCTTTACTTTCTGAGATGAAAGCCATGGCTAATGCATACTTCCACTGTATTTTGTAAAAGTTAGTTATGTGCTGTCATAAACTGACATGCATTGTAGTCTGTAAACTCTTGATTGAGCACAGCTACTCAAACACAGTGTTGCACAAGTGTGTGCACTTGGGCCTCGATCAGCAGTTAGCAGTGTACATGGGTCATGGGTGCAGGTATGGGGGGTTGACAGGGCACTGCCATGGGCTTTTCTGAAAGACTAGTGCGCTTCTGAACCCAAAGAGGTTTCGTGGTACCTTGTGACTATGGAAGGTCTCCCTGGAGACTCAGGGCCAAAAGAATTGCTTCAAGTGCGGGTGAATGAAATAGTGTCACACTTTAGTCTCCAGTCTCAGCTCAAATCAGATCAGGGAAAGCAAGTGTGGATGCTTGTCAGGGTGTGTGAAAGTCCAGAGATACAGAATACGTTTTCATTGGGTGGGATATTGCAGGACAGCTAGGTCCCCGCTACACACACATACATATGCACACACATAGGCCCCCAAAGCCCCACTGTATCACATCGCCAGTGAACAAAACCAAACCTGTTGCCATCCGTTTGAATCTGACTCCTGCTGATCCTGTAGGACAGAGTGGAGCAGCTGCCCTGTCGGGTTTCCAGCACTAAATCCTTACAGAAGCAGACTGCCCATTTTCCTTCTGTGGAGTGGCTGCTAGCTCCACACCGCCAGTCTTCTCATTAACAGCCGAGTGAGTGCCTAACCACTGGGCCACCACCACACCAGTATTACAGAAAACCAAACCTGATGCCATTGAGTTGAGCCGACCCATAGGGGCCTGTAGGGCAGAGTAGAACTGACCCATAGGATTTCCAAGGGTGTAAATCCTTAAGCAAACCACCTCATCTTTCTCGCATGGAACGATGGGTTTGAATCACCACCCTTTGAATAGGCAGAAAGAGACCATTCTCCAACAAAAAAGCCTTAACCATTTCCAATTAGCCCCTAGGGGGCGGTATTAATCTATAGAGAACCTCTGGCCTTGACAGAGCCATCCAGTTCAGGGCTTTCAGCAATAAGCCTGCATTTGTCAATATGGGTATCAGGAATAATATTATGAAGATTTGTGTGTTGGGTTTTCTTTGGACGTGTGTTTTTATCTCTCCTAGGGGTGGGGTTTCTGGGTCCTGTAACTATTTTTAACATTTTTCAGGAACTGCTGACAGGTCTCCAAAGTGGGTGCATAATTTTACACCCCAACCTTTTTCTCTCTACCTGTCCCTTGCCAACACTCGTCCTTGTCTGTCTTTTGTATTATAGCCATGCCAGTATATGTGTAGCATAGTTAAGCACCTGCTTGGCTGCTCATCAGAAAGGCCTGGCAGTCAACCTGTGAAAACCCTGCAGAGCCCAGTTCTGTCACACATGGAGTCAGTGTGTGTCGGCCTCAACTAGTTTGGTTGTGCGTGTAATGGTATCACATTGTGGTTTTTATTTACATTTCCCTGGTGACCAAGTAATGTTGGACATCTTTGCATGTGCATATTGGTGGCTCAGTGGTTAAAGCACTGAGCTGCTAACCAAATGGTCAGTGGCCAGACACCAGCCACTCTGGGAGAAAAAGTGACCAGCCATCTACTGTAAACATCAGCAGCGTCAGAAGCCCCCTGAGTAGGAATCTACGGGTTACAGTGGGTCTAATCATGTTTTAGTTATTGGCCATTTGCATATCCTTTTTGGAAAAATGTTTATTCAGCTCCTTTACCTGTTTTTTTATTGGGCTATTTTTCATTTTATTGCTGATTTCGGTGTCTTACTGAGCGCATGATCTGCTAGTGTTCTTTCATTCTCTACCCTTTCACTCCCTGGATGCTGTCCCTTGGAACAAGGGACAGAGTTCATTTTCTTCTGTGAGTTTTATATTCTCTCACATTTAAGTCTTTCGTTAATTTTGAGTTCATTTTTGTTTGTGGTGTGAGGAACACAGGACAGAGCAGCTGCAGGCTTTGTGGGGCTGTCCATCATCTGCTTCCACCTGTAGTGCAGGAACGGAGCCCCGGTGGTGCTGTGGCTGGGTTAGGTGCTGAACTAACCCCAGATCAGTGGTTCAAACCCATCAGCTGCTCTAAAGCAGAAAGATGAGGCTACTTGCTCCCATAAAGATTTATTTATAACCTCTGAAACACTATATAGGATCATTTTGAGTTGGAATCGAGTTGATGGCAATAGATTTCAGTTTTTTTATTTTTAGTTTGGTATAAGGAAAGAGGTTAAACTACTATTTTTCTTCTCTTTCACTTTATTGTGAACTGGGTAAGTTGATAGAGCAGAGCAACTTTCTATTTAATAATTCATGCACATTTTGTTTGGTCTCATTGATTGCAGTCCCCACAATATAACTTTACTCATCCCACTTCCTCCTGTGTTTCTCCCACTCCTTGCAGCATCCCTATCCCAGTCTAGTTGACCATTAAGCTCTTTTATGATTTTAAATCTGTTTCGTGTTTTTCTCCCACTCTACCTAAGACCTACTGTGATCCCTTTCCGCGCAGTTGGCAGTGCTAGCCAGGCCCATCTAGTCCCTCAGTTCTCCGGGTTGTGGAGGCTGAAGGCCGCTTGCTCCATTGGACTAAATGTTTCCAGGCACCTTCGGTTTTCTCCACTCTTCTTTCTGCTGGACCAGGAGAGACCAATAGCTGTACTTTAGATGACCGCTCACAGGCCTTGAAAATCCCAATTTCAGCTCACCGAAGTAGGACGTAGAGCATTGTTTTTGTCAATCATGTTATGCCAACTGGCCTTGATGTCTCCCAGCAGTCTCTCTCTTGCACGTGGAGATCCAGCACTGTGTTGAAAAGACTGTTTCGTTGTATTTCTGGATTCTCGATTCGCCACGGCCACATGGTCTTGAATCCCGAGGCTTTGTAAAAGGCTTTAAGATCAGGCTGTGTAAGTCTTTCAATTGCATTCTTCATTTTCAAGATTATTTTACTATTCTGTATTTCAGTCTGAATTTTAGGATCACACTGTCAGTTTCTACAAAAGAAGCTACCTTTTCAAAGCAGTGTGACAGGAATTGCCTTGAGCCCACATTTCTTTTTTTTCAAATTTTAACAGTTTTATTGGCATTTCATCCACATATCATACAATTCAATAGTTCAAGCATGCCAAGAAGAGTTATACAATCATCGTGACAATAAATTTTAGAACAGGAAATTTGATTATTTAGACAGTAATAAACTGACTAGCTCAAAGAGACCAATTTTTCTATCACATGACAGTCTTCTTTTGGGGGTTTTCATGCACTTTTTTTTTTT